ATGAGTCAGTACTAGAAGAAATAAAAACTGAAATGAAAAAGTTTCTTGAAACAAATGACAATGAAAACACAAGTTACTGAAACCTCTGGGAAACAGCCAAAACAGTAATTAGGGGTCAATTTATATCAATAAGCACACACAACAAAAGGCAAGAAAAAAATGATAACTGACTCTAACCCACCATCTCCAACAAACTGAAAAAGAAAAGCAAGAAGACCCAAAACCTTCTAAAAAACCTGAAATTACAAAAATTAGGGCAGAAATAATGAAATAGAAAACAGAGAAACAATTGAAACCATCAACAAAACCAGGATTGGTTTCTAAAAAGGTCAATAAAATCAACAAACCACTAGCAAATCTAACAAAGAAAAAGAAAGAAAAGACACAAATAATCCAAATAAGAGATGAAAGGAGTAATGTCACAACAGAACCAACGAAAATAAAAAGGCTAATAATGGAATATTATGAAAAATATACTCAAATACGAAAACCTAGAGGAAATGGACAAATACTTAGAAACTTACAACCTACCTAAACTGACACAGATTGAAATGAAACACTTGAACAGACCCATCACAAAAGAAGAAATTACAAAGGCAATAAAACAACTTCCAACAATAACAACAACAAAAATCCCAGGACCAGATGGATTTACAAGTGCATTTTAAGAAATATTCAGAGAAGAACTGTCACCAATTCTACATAAACTACTTCAGAAAACAAAAAAAGATGGAATTCTCCCAGACTCATTCTATAAAGCAAACATATCCTTGGTACCAAAGTCGAGTAAAGACACCACCAAAATAAAAACACTCTATACCCAAATCTCTCTTGAACATAGATGCAAAAATCCTGAATAAAACCCTGGCCAACAGAACCCAACAATACATTAAATGATAATAATAATAATTCACCATGACCAAGTGGGATTCATAACAGGTATGCAAAGTTGGTTCAACACAAGAAAAACAATCAGTGTAATTCATCACATTAACAAAGCAAAGAACAAGAACCACATGATCCTATCAATTGATGCAGAAAAAACATTTGACAAAATCCAACACCCTTTCCTGATTAAAACACTCAACAAATAGGATTGGATGAGAATTGCTTCAACATAGTAAAAAGTATATATGTAAAACCA